ATCTTTCGCGTCTGAGTTTTTGCTCGCACTGCTCGTCCCTATTTCGTTAGCACCGTTTTTTATATTTCACCGGCACAATCTGTCTCTTTGCTGCGTCCATGCGTAGGTAGTTGAATTACGTTTTCATAGAGCAATGTAAATTTTGCACGTCCCAGCCTTATACACACTAGCGTTAATTTTTAGGGAAAACTTATTATCTTGAATGACAAATTAATACAAAAATCATTACTGAAATTCTAGTATTTAATATCATTTGTGAGAAAGAAAAATATGTTTTGAATTTCAACGGTATAATCTGCAGCTCTACGTAGATAGTTAAAATATATTTTTATAGAACAATGTGCATTTTCCACGTTATTATATATAAGATTATACATTAATTTTAAAATTAATTATTTCAAAGGAGGAGTTAATGCAATGCAAAAATTTTTATATCTAAAATTATTTGGAAATTATTGAAAAAAGAAACATCTTTTTTATTCTCATTGGATACATTTTAGTACAATATTTAATAATTATTTATTAAAATTCAATCGAGTCATATTTTAGTCATGTTAATACATGAATATTATTATGTAAAATTAACTTTTACATGCGTGTGATTTTAATGCGTGCTCCTTCTTATTATTATACGTCATTGTATGTTGATCAGAAAAGTACATTCGATACATCGCTTTCGAAGAATTGTGCACTTAGAGACATTGAATGTACATATTGACAATTTCAAAATGGATTTCTGAAAGCTTAAGATTATTTGCTTGTGTGACTTTTCACGGATGGTAGTAAATTGCATGCCATAATCACGAGGAGAAAAAGGAAAGAAGAAGCACGAAGAGAGATCTGATGTTATGATGGCTAGCAAAAGTATGCGAAAATGTAGAAATTTGACGTAAGTTGATAAATCGATCTTTTCACTTTAGTATATAAGTGTATCCCGCTTGGGAATCACATATATATACAAATATTCCTTCGTACTTCACATTGAAAATGCATTTGTAGAATGTAGGAAAAATATATATAGGTCGATATGCACGCGAGCAAATCTTCATGAATACTGAAATGAAGTGAACAAAGAGCGCTATAAATTATTTTAGTCACAATTAACATAAATTAAATTGCAATATAATGATTTTGTTCCATATCATAGTATATCCAAAAGTATACATTTATTTTACATATTTCCTTTCTTTCAATTGGACATCTCTTATTTTTTAAAGCTAAAATCAAATATGCGCTTTTCATTAACGTTGGATCAAACGTAACTGCGCGTCATAGGAACAAAAGCCGCGTCACGGTTCTTGTGCCTGCACCTTTGCCCCTTTTCATCTCAACTTTAGTATGTCAGGCACGCGTGCAAAACTCAATGAAGCCGTTTTTATGGGAGAATACGCATTTTCATTCTACGTGTTCGGTATTTCAATATCGACCGCGTTCTCGCTAATATAATACGTTCGAACGCACACTGCGTTTATGTAGAATGTAAATCAATCATGTGTACCTTTCTTTCTATGCGGTGAAGAGCACGATCCATCGAATGTTATCGACAAAATATGAAATTTACGTTGAAATCAGAGACATTGTAATCGGTATGAATTTTTTAGTGAATTCGATTCTTCATGTGCTATAAAGGAAAATAAATCTTTCGCTCGTTTCATTGTCGGAGGATCATTTTTTACACGTTCGTATTGAAATTCAAATCCATTTACATGATTCGGATCGCAATCCCTTTAATCGATCGAATTGTGGGTACTCATTCTGGAAGCTCAGCTGTGCGAATTACAAACGAGCAAGGCATGAACATCTGACGAAAAGGGTGCGAGGGGTGTTCTTTTTTTTCCAGGTGTCATGGGTGAGACACAGGGATATCCATCTTCTCACCGTGGGCGTCGAGACATATACATCGGACCAGAGATTCGTCGCGTTACATTTTCCGCACACGGAGGACTGGACGCTACAAGTAAAATACCCTCAACGACGAGATTCTGGCACATACGAGTGTCAAGTATCCACGACGCCGCCCATAGGTCATTCCATGCTCCTTTCTGTCGTCGGTGAGTTCTACCTCTCTCTCTCTCTCTCTCTTGTTTCTCTTTTCATCTTGTTTTTCACCGCACGAGACCGTCGTGCTGATTTCACCGCGACGCGGAAATTCATACTATATCTGTTTGCTTGTTGGAAGCTTAATGTGCACCGCACGTGCATCGCGATACTCACGGAATTTGCTGCACCACGGCGGTTGATTCATTGTATGACTTAATCATTCGCGGGAAATGTTTCTCAATGGGACACGCACACACACATACGCGGCTCCTAGATATTTTATTACTATCTTGTCTTCACGATCTGCTTCACATCGCGTCGACGAATTCAACCGGAAGAATTAAATTATCGCGAGGAGATACGGTTTATGAAATCGACTTCTTCCTTTCCGTAAGATTTTTACGAAGCTCGTTGAAGTTTGTACGAAGCTCGTCAGACAGATTGCACAGTTTCCGGGAACTTCGCGAATTACAAATTTCTATCATTATGCATGCTCGCTTGTTCTGCGGATAGTAACTTTAATCAGCTTCTATAATCTTGAACTTAATATTAACTTAATATATTAACTATTTAATGTCAATCTTCCTTAAAGTTCAGATTCATATAGAAATTAATCCAATATTTAATATTATATAAAAATTGACTATCAAAAATATTTTGCGATAAATCTTTTTTTAACGTTCTGATAACAGCAATTATTATACAGAGAGATAGATAGATAGAGAGGGAGAGAGAGAGAGAGAGAGAGAAAGTATAATTTTTCACGTTAGTGACACATTAATATTAATCTTTATCCGTATTATTATTATTATTAGAAACATTTGGTATTATATGTTTGTTTATATATAATATTGATGTTTTCAATCATAATATCAACGCAATAAGCAAACAAGTAACAAATAGTTTAACATGTCTATAATTTATCCATTAGTGATAATTAACCTTAATTTTTATAAATTTTTATTTGTTAAATCTGTTAAAAAAATACTATTTTTTGTCATCAAATTAAGTATTGTAGTGAAATAATATAAAATTGCAAAATATATTGCAAAAAAGAGTAAAAGCTTAATTTAAAAAAAAAAGGAATAATTAATTAATGCACGGAGATATGTACAAATTCAATTTCATTATTTTTTTTATATCTGTTTAACTTTTATTTATTTTTATTAACTTACTATATGCCAATGGTTTTTAATTTTATATTCGAACGCACTGCAAAGGAAATAATAAGTCATGTAGAATAATAAATGTAATTGAAAAATATAAATTCTTTATGAATCCAGAATATTCGCTTTTTTCATGGCTATCATGAAACTTGTGTATGCGTCGGATAAATTACAACGTTTACATCAATATTGTAAAATTTTAAAATTTAAAGTTTAAAATGTCTATTAAAATTACTAAGGAAAATTGGCAGATAGGATCTCTTTTACAAACTAATATTAAAATCGAAAAAAAGCATGAAATTGACCTCTTATCATCATATGAATGTTTTTATAGCACGTACAAAGATAATATCCTTTAATTCTATGATAACCTAAATTGACAGAGAAACTAACAGGTTTAAATGAAACTAAATTTGAAAAACTAATCAAATTTCCGCCGTATTTCGCAGCAATTTAAAAGGAACAATACATCTATATTGATAGTAATATAATACTCTGTAAATTAACACAATTCTTGCGCGAGATATCCGATCAGATTATTTCTTCTTGCAGTTAATGATTTCGAAATAATAACTTTTTGTTTTATATATATATATATTTCTATCCTCACCCACAGAGCCTGTGACGATGATTATTGGAGAACCAGAAATGTATATAAACAAGGATAGCACTATGAATTTGACCTGCGTTGTACGACATAGTCCTGAACCACCATTTACCATTAAATGGACTCACAATAATGAGGTATGTTGCCATTAAGTGCAATTTTGTTTGACTAAATTAAAAGTGATTTCAAGAAGAAAGAGAAATGCCGATAAATTAATTTTCAATAATTATTTCTAAGATGTCACATAAAAGACATCAACTCTTAAATCCGCGTCTTTCCATTTCGCCGTGACTTCTTATCATCTCTTATTCGAATCGCGCTCACTCTATCCGTTCGGTGTGTGACGCGTTTTAAACAAGTTTTTAAGTTTAAGATTCCGAGTTTGCAGGAGAGAAAACTTTTAATTTTAATATTACCTGTCTAGAGACCGTTTCTCCTTGTTCAATTTTTAAATGTACGAACATCGCTGTAACTCCATCTCATTTCTCAACTTCAAAATCTATGTCTTATCCTTGTCTTTCTCCTTTGCCGCAAAAGTTTCTCCAGTGTGTGCTTCACTAACCCTGGGTCACATTATACAACACCTATTTCTCCGACCGTGTCTGTCTTTGTATCTTGTGGGCTTTTACTTAGATCTTATATTTCTACTTTCGAGCTCCACCGACAGTTCATCGTATTAACTCTCTCGCCGTTTTCGCAGTGTCTTCCATTTCTGCGCGAATATTACGCACTCGTTCCTTTTTACTGTACGTTTTCAATGTTTCACTATCATTTCATCGATGCTTACTCAATTTAACATTATAGAGTTATATAATAAATATGTATTTAGAAACATTTAGTTTAATTACTCATAGCTTTTGTTGAGTCAAATCTTTTATTTTACTTTTGACATATTATTTTCTAGTGCAACTTTTTTTATTGTTATTTATTATCTATTATTATATATAATAGATAATAAATAAGAGTGATTTATTCAAATTCTACTATTATATACTCTGTTTATTCTCTGTTTAATATCATTATAAATTTAATTATTCATCTTCCTCTCCTTTTCTCTTTTTTCTGCCATTTCTTTCGCTTCTTTTACGAGCAAATCCATTTTCTTTCTTTTTTTCACTGGTTATTTATCTCTTTCGTTCCCCTTTCTTTCATTCGAAGACTTTTTTTGAAATCCGATTATCGCAATCCTCACCTGTGGGTCCAAATCTTGCTCATCCGTCTGTCACGTTATTTCTTACTCTATTTCCCCAAGAATTTGACTTTCTTTCTCCAAACCCCTATCTATTCTGTAGCGCTCGATCCTGTAAGCTATCGTGTCACATACGCAGAGATTTTCTTTCGCGTACTTGCTCCGTCTCATCATTTGCTTTTTATCCCGTTCCGATGCTATTGCATCTTGTACTAGCCAATCCTATCTTGCGTTCGCTCGAACTCGGAGTAAAAGATTCGACGCATAGTATTTCTGCTAGCCCCGTATTTTCCGTCTGTCTGGTCGCACGCATTCCTTCTATCCCTATGACCCAGTTAATCCCGTCGTTTGTAGGGAGAATTTATGCCTGTTGCGATATGCAGCATATATAGCATAAATAATCGGTAAACGCACAATCACGTTACTGTCTTGTTGGTATAATTTATTTCGCACAAACATCAATCTCTGTTAACTTTCTCCATTAATGCATCCCTAATTGCATGAATTTATCATTATCATACATCATAATTATAAACTAAATTAAAATATAAAAATTGAAAGTACCAACACGCGCAAAGATTTAACAATCAGCGACGAATAAAATTACCGCTGGCGAAAAACCAAACATCAGTGGTATTCGAGCGAATTTCCACTTGCAGCACTTCCACCGACCTGAGCAATCGGTATTATCCACGGTGTAATCCGTTTTATATATCCTCATTAAAAAAGCTTACATAAGATCAACCTAATTCAAGAAGGCTATACCGTAGAAAAAAAACTTTACTTTGGATTATTCTTTGACTTCTGAATATCTTCAGATAAACATTTTAACTCGAAAGAATCATATTGAAATTTATTGGACTTTAAAAATCTCGATAAAATGTGCGTCCCGGTATGACCTCTCTGTCCGAAATAATCTTTTTTGAATAAAATAAAATGTAAACTATGTAATTCGAAAACAAACAATGTTGGATTTAACTAATCCTTGCAACATTGTTCACATATATATCAAAAAATATTTTTATATTAATTAAAACTAACGGTTATTGTATTGTAAGGTAGAGTAGAAAAATGGCATTATATTCACAGAGAATCTTGCAATGATATTGGTACGATGTAGTATTCTCTTGCGGATTACAACAAATGTATAGTATATATAGTATACAGAAAGTACAAATATTTGTGCTGAGTGTTGTGGATTTGATATTTTAAATTTTCCAAAATTTCAGAATTTTTGACATTTTGCGGTCCGCCGACAGCACTCAGCTCGTCGGCATTGTTACATTGGAATTTACTGGCGGCATGCAGTTGTAGTAATGACATGTAGACGTTGATGCGCGCTAGATCAGCTCTTACGCGAAATATATTATATTAACATTATCCATTAAAAGCGCAAAAAATTTATTCCTATATTATATTATTTACTACATTTATATTAAAATTAAATTTTAAATTAAACCAAAGTTTAATGGAAGTTAAATGTAACTGTCCCTTATTTTTTAAATATTTTTGTGTGTTTAAGTAATTGGTACATAATCGGTCATGCGGAAAAATAAATTTATTCATTGACATTTCGGCTCACGAACCTGTGGCCATCCTCAGGAAATGAATAAAGAACCGCAACCTATTGCAATTATCCTTTAATAAACATTAAAGGTTTATGATATAGAATATGAAATGTCAGTAAAACCCTTTAAAGGAACAGATTTATTCATTGACGTTTCGGTTCACAGACTTGTGGTTTTTCTCAGAAAATGAATAGAGAACCGCAACCTATTGCAATCACTTCTTAATAAACACTAAAGCTTTGTGGCATGGAATGTCAGTAAATTCCTTTTGAGATATGTAAAAATAAAAAGAGCTATTGGAAATAATATCAGTCTGATTAAAGAAGAAACGTATATGTAGAGATGAAACGTACATATAAATGTAACAATATTATACATCTATATGCAAAAAAAAATGATAAAAACGTATATATGTATACATAGATATAGGTTTTCAATAATAATTTATTTAAAATAGTCTCTCTTTTTGTATGTATAATAGCTTATTGGAACTCAATTAAATGCAAAGGCCTGTTTATAATTGAATTTTTGTTTTGATTGAAAAAGATCTGAATGAATTATATCTGATTGTGTAGCAAAAGAAAACGAATATAGAATATTTTGTTAACAAATGACTAAAAACGAATGAAATATTTGTCGTTTTAGTCTGTGGAACAGACAACGTACGCAGATTTTTTCAAATTTTTGCATGAAACACGCACACGTAAAACCATGCAGAATTTTTCATATCTTAGACCATTTCAGAGATATTTGCATGTCACATTTTTCGCGCGAGTTCGAAATATATAAATCAATCCGATCTGTTATGTTACGATATTAAAGAGACACAAGCTGTTACCTATGGACGAAAGCTTTCGATAAATTAATGTGCGATACGTAATTGCAATATGCAATATATAGATATGTGATATGTTGCGATAATAATTAGATATCGCGTTGCAAATTTGTAGCACAAAAATATAATAATCAACGTGATTTGATCAAAAAATCTATTTTTGCCTTATTGAATAGACAATATAAGACGAATAAAATACTTGCTTTTAAACTGCAATGTAGCGATTGCCAAAACGTAACGAGAAAAATTAATAAAATTAAAATTAATGAAATTAATGGAAAAACATTAAATTAAAAGCAGAACTCAAAGGAATTATCAGATATCGAAATATGAAGCTAATACTCAATATAAACTGTATCAAAAAAGAAATAAAATATATATAAGAGAGATATTTAATTAAAAGCATATTTAATTGAACATAAAAAAGATAAAATATCCAGTTGCAGTTATATTTTAGGAGTTGTAATATCTTCTCGGAAAGCTTTGAAAGTTTTTGAAATCCATTTTGCAACAGTGACATATAAATCGTTTATTTTGAAAGTATTGTAAGTTCTGCTCTCTAAAACATTATGAGTCTCAGCGAAATACAGACATAAACTGATATCTGCTATTATCGATTTTACCAAAGTTTCCGGGACTGGATTTCCACCAGTTTACAAACCAGGAAATGCGATCGAGTCAGAATGAAGGAGAGTTTTACGCAGTTTTTAATTCACAAAGAGGAAATATATTCGTAAAATATAAACATAATGGCGTATACGCGGTCATGCAAAAATATATTTAATTAAATAAATTCACATGACAAAAAAGTTTCTGTAATTATTATTGCAGGGAATTATATTGCATTGTAATTGTATTATGATTATTGTTATATGATTTAGGATAATAATAAAACTCGCTAAAGATTGATTTCGCATCTATTATACATTCATATTTAGAACGAGAAAGATCCAGTTATTTTATTAAAATAATTTTTCCTCATAAGCATTGCCAATCAGTATCGCTACAGATTTTTTCAACTGAAAATTAATCAATCATTTAATTAATAGATTTCCTCGTCGGTTCGACGAACGCTATTGTTTATAAACATTGTAGGAAGAAATTTAATTAGAATAACATTTTTCCGGAATCTGCACGTGACAGGCGATCAATTATGACAGTCCGAGAGGAGGGGTATCGGTTATCACGGAGAAGGGCGAAGTAACGACGTCGTACCTTTTAATTCAACGTGCTCAACCAGCGGATAGCGGACAATACACCTGCCATCCCAGTAACGCAAACACAAAGACAGTCTTAGTTCATGTACTTAATGGTATGTATACTTCTTAATCTTATAACGCACCTGCTATTACGTTGTTATAATGTGTGTACAGCCGCTTAATATACCTAGTGGTTTTTCTCTATGCAGCTCCGATTATCCAAAGTGTACTGCGAAAAATAAATACTTCCTCGCAAAACTGTTATTTAAAAAAAAAGGAAATATTATATAATCTCTTCTTCTGATTCTCGCAGGGGAACATCCGGCTGCGATGCAACACGGCGGGCAGCTAAGATTAGCCAATTTACCTTTTGTAATGATCTCGACCACGCTTCTGACCTTTTTGAATCATCCTTATTAGATGTAGAAATGGACCATTATAAATGTTAGTTTGAGATATTCCTTTCAAATTTATTTTTTTCGCTTTTTTGTCACTTGATTCTCGAGAAAAGATAGCGCATGAATATCTATTGAACACTCTATAGAAAAAAAACTCGTATGAATAAATGATCGATAAAATAAACTGCAAGTTGAAAAGCCTTTTTACGATAAAACGCGTGACTTATTACTTTTTTATATTTGTTTTAATATATTGTATGTTTGAATATAAATATTTAAAATGTTGCTATATCATTCTTTATCATTTTTTGTTATTAAATATTTTTAAATTGAATTGTTTTTTCATAACTAATATATTTTTCAATAAAATTTTTCCTGTTTTTTTTTTATATTATATATATTCTTTATAGACTTATAAACATCACTTGTACTATCTACGTCAATAAGAGCGTACCTCGCAAAAGTTTATAGATGAATATAATAGACGAAAAAAAAGTTTTATCTTGAAACGGAAGACATCCATTAAAAGAGATATAAGGACGAAACGGGGATAACAATAAATCAAAAAAAGTGACAGAATCATCTTGCAACAATAAAAGATGTAAAAATTAAAAACGAGGAAACAGATTTTCGTTGTTACTAAAACACCGTTAAAATGTGATCTGGGTGTGATTGGGTGAAGACAGGGTAACGAAAATCGGGTATATTTGTGAAAATAATTGTCGATTATTTAATTCGGAAAGCTCATATCCGAGCAGCAAGTAATGTTAAATTTACTTTATCACAGTTTACAAGACAATACGTTGTGCTTGCCAAAAAAAATGTATACATGTTACTGTTAATAAACATATATTAGACATTTTAACATAAAGATATGTTAAAATTTATCATTATGTTGCGAGGACATGTACGAGAATATATATATATATATATATATATATATATAATACGATGTAAAGCTGCGCTAAAATAAGAACACACTAAATAATGCATGACTGAGCATGTCATGTTGAAATAATGGGGTCATTCACTTGAACGATACAAGTTTTTAAGACACAATTATTTCTTAACGATTATCTCCAATACAAAAAAAAAGATTTTGATGAATTTCTGTTGTGTTTCGTAACAAAATTATAAAAAATGCATTTTTATGACCATCAAATATGAATATCGTTCTACGATCATGTCAGAATTCTATTGATCGGACGACATATATATATTTATTCATTCTAATAACACCTTATTTTATATTAAACATTTATTTGTCAGCAAGAATTTGCATTGTTTCGAATGACTGTTGTAGCTCTAATGCAAAAGCGATAAGTAACAGAAAAGACCATAATATATTATATAATTTTTTTAATCTGTCGTGATTATGTATAATTACATATAACGTTTGAGATTATCGAAGAAAGTTTGGCCCTGTTTGCTGTACGATATCGTATATTGTACGGGTATCGACATGTAATATATCTTCACATATTTTATGTAATAAGTTATGTATGAATATATAATATGTCGTGTGTGCAAAAACAACAAACCATAAAATCTGGATAATCATGTAAAAAGAAACACAAATCCGCTTGGTTCTTATATAATGTTAGATTATATATCTTAAAAACTTTGTTTGTATAACGAGAGAGGAGAGACAGAGTTAAATAAACGGTTTGAGATTTACAGCATCTTGTCCTCAGGATATGCCTGTATATCGTTGCCGCCGTGCAAATTAAAATTAGAACGTCAGTATATGTGTGTATCGTGCGTTTCGCTGCGTAACTATTTGAATTTATATGAACAATTTGGGACAGTCATGTCTACTTCTTAATTTGACCGAATCTAGATAATAGCTAATTGTTATTTCGTGCAAATAAATCTATTATAATTAAACCATACGTATCAATTATGTGTCATTTAAAGTATATATTGCCGTTTTCTTCTTATTTCGAGTGTAAATAACATATTCGCAAGAACTGGACAAAGACGTTTTGTGTAGATTTATTAATATTAAATTAAATTTGAAATAATTAACAGATAGAATGTTTTAATTAAGAATCACGACGTCACAAGATTAAAGTTCTCGATCAAAATAAATATGTATACAATGTTGCACAGTAAGATTTTTCACACAATGAAACTTTTTTTTTATGTACATAATACAATATTCAAGTATTCTTAAATAAACTAGATTAATATAACAAAAATAAAAAAAGGTATTCGTTTTTATTTCGTTTTGTATGTAACCGGAACAGAAAACCCGCGTTTTAATTAAAATATTCTGAAAATATTTTTCTTACCTGCATATTGTATGACTTCAATATGTTATTTATAAATATGCCAGTTTTAGTACACGATTCATTGAGTTTAAATAAAAATCGAAATAATTTATGTTGTCAATAAAGAATTCCTTTCATATGAGGGATACTGCTTGTAATTTATTCGTAATCGATTCTTACATTAAACAATGGAGCAATATATTCTGTCTCATATGTATCGAGTATGGTTTTGTAACAACTCATACAGTTTGTAATGGATCCCTGTCTGCTTCAGATAGACACACTTTGACAGATCCTTGTAAAGCAAGTTCTAATATCGAAGCAAATATCTTCATAAAACCACGTTCCGAATCAGAGTGATTTGTTAATATAACATGGATCCCGCGATGTACGGCATCTAATATATCGTGATGCAACATTTCACCCGTAAGATACAAATCTGCAGAGACGTCTTTCAATACCGAGACGCCCGCTCCGGCACATAGTGCAACGCTATTAATATAACCATCTAAAATATCATAATCATATAAAGTAGTGATTATATACTTTCATCAAATTTTTTTTTAAGCGATATAAATTATTTTTACTAAAACTCACCTGCACCATGTGCACGTGCTAATCTTACGTGTTTCAGATTTGTATGTTGCTTTACTAAATTCACCGCTTCGTCGATAGATATCCGGTTCTTCAAGGTGCATAGTCTTCCCATTCCATAAGTCGTATTATTCGCATCCGGCTGAATCGGCGTCCTCTTCTCAAACTCTTAAAATGGTTTTTATAAGGGATAAGATATTAACATATTAATAATTGACTCATTGTCAGATGTAATTTTTTTTTTTTTTTACCGAAAGCTTGCGCTAACCAGTCATTTACACCGCCTTGTACGGAATCAAAACTGGTGTGCGGAGAGAAGACAGCGATTTTATTTTCTAGACATCTTGCCACTATTCGTTCCTATTGTATATAGATATAAATTAAAAATCTCGATAATTTTCTAACAATTTTACAGAGATGATATTTCTAACAATCTATATTTTCTAACTATCTTACAAAGATAGTACCTTCCAAGATCGAGTTGTAATAGACTTCAATGGAATAAATATTAATGGATGATATGTGATGATTAAATCAGTTTTTAATTCAATGGCTTCATCCATAACATTTTCGGTTAAATCATTCGTCAGTAAAATGCATGACACATTTTTGGGTTCTGTGGGTTCAATCAGTAATCCAACGTTGTCCCAGGGAGCTGCGAGCGAGGTATCCGCAAACGCATTTATTTCTTTCACAATATTTTTCAAAGGTATGCCAGTTCTATCTCCTGCGATGTTACTCATTGTACGTATCGTTCTATACTGTTTGATATATTTGTACTCTTTAATATATCTATATCGTAAGTAAAAAGTATTGCGAAATAATCCCACGTTGTATAAGCGCTTTAACATTTATGTGCAACCCTAAAATGAAGATGTGACATCAGATGATATATGATTTATTACATTTAAAAATGATATCAAGGACATAAAATATAATAATCAGATATTTAAATACATTATTTATTTATAGAATTTGTTACAAAATATCTGTTATTCAATATCTTTATAAAAATGTAAAGATATTGAGTAAAGACTGTTGAACATAAAGAAAATGATATCCTTTTTGGCAGCATTTTTGAAAACATTGATTCCCAATTTTATAATTTATTATTCACTATTTTTGGATCTCTCTATTTAAATAAGAAAGATAAAATTGTATTGCAAATAAAACATAACTATATCTTTGTAGTTTTATTCTTTATAATTGTAAAACCATATTTTCACTAAACTATCATCGCTTGCAGAGGCAAATTGTCCAGGAATTGTAGGATTCCACTGAACACAGTTAACATCTTGAGCATGTGCATTGTCCATTGAATAAATCATTGTAAAACTCGGCTGATGTGGATCACAGTCACTATCCTCCTTAAATATTCTAATTATGTCGTCGCCACATGCAGTCACTAATAAACCCGTAATCTTACACCAGTCAATGTCGTAAATAGTTCTGGTATGATAGCCTGACAGTGTGCAAATACATTTCCAAACGGATTCATTGTTCGGCGTAGGAATGCCTGTTTCATTTTCAGGTTTGTATTCTCGCCATATCTTTACTGTTTTATCGTCACTGCAGGTTGCTATTCGATTACCAATCTTATCCCATGAGAGACTCCATACTGTAGATGTGTGAGATGATAAAGTTGCAACACATGACCAATCACTATCGGCCGCATCTTCTTTAAATATTTTTACTGTATTATCATAGCTTGCAGAAGCCAGAATCTCTTCATAGGGATGCCATCTCACCTGAAAAAAAAGTACACTCTTGTTACATATAAAAAATAAAAAATTTCCGTTTTATATATTAACAATTTCCATTTTATATATTAACAAAACAGATTGAAATTGATATTTTCTTAATTAATCATGAACAAACAAATCTACATTAAACCATAATTTTTCTTTTTCAACAGATGAACTTGCATAGACATACCTTTTTTACATCTTGAGTATGAGCATTAATGACAGCAGCACATTCATACTCATCATCGTTCACTTCCCATACCCACACTGATTTGTCGCGACTACATGTAGCAAGTAGTTGACCAGAGATTGACCAACTAACGCTTTTCACTTCGTTTTCATGCCCTTCTAATGTTGCATTACATTCAAATTGTCCTGACTTTCTATCCCACACTGCAGTAGTCGCATCAAAACTTGCTGATGCAATGTAATTACCACAGGGAGACCAAGCTAATTCTCTAATGGTTCTAGAATGTCCTTCGGTAAGGATCATTTTTGTAACCCATTTAAGCCCCTCTAATCCCCATATTATAATTGTTTTATCCTCGCCGCAAGATGCTAAATAAGCACCTTTAGGATGCCAGCAAACATTCCATACTCTGCCTCTGTGCCCAGTCAGAGTTTGCTTTAGTTCCAATGTATCCATTGCTACCTGCAACATCATAAGTTACCGCATGGAAAACGATATTTATTAAAATTATTTTGTTAATGAAAAAATATTTATATAATATAATTCATAAATAAATTATAGACTTTAAAAAGGAATTTTTTAAGCATATAAGATATTAAACATGAAAGTGACTCGTTAGGATACATTGGAACTAAAGAGCATAGTATATAATTCTCACATCGCAAATATAATACATGAAATATTTATTTTGTTCTTCCAACTAACCTCTTCACATATAGCAAGTAAAATTTACTTGTAATGTCAATATAAGCGTATGTAACAATAATGAATATAAGTATAGAATCATTTTGTTACATAAACACAATTGCATAAAAATTAAATAACAAAATACTCGATTAAAGTTATGTTTTTATTCTAGATAATAATGAAATCGAAAAGTGTTGTAAACCCACCGTTTTACGCAATCTTTAATAATGCTGAAGATATTTTAACAGATTATTAGTCACTAATATCTGTATGCGCACAAATTTCAGCTATGTAGAATATTTTGTAAAAAATCTGATAAAACGTGATAAAAGATATACTGATACAATTTGCAATCTCCGCCGGTTGTATATTATGTGTTGATTCTATTTATCGATAGATATGTAAATGTAATTTAACGAACAAACTGTCAGAAATTGTCACAGAGAGCGTTGTCGTCTGCTTACGTCATTCGCGCATGATCGTTGAGATTCGCGCTTCACAAAATCAAGGAAATTGCGTTATGGGTAAAATTTATATAGGATGTTCCAAAATCTCAGAGCATGTCCTTTTAATAGCAGATTCCCTGGCCAAGTTGGAATCGATGTTTTCTTAACGATGGAGAGAGGTCATTTTTTTGCAAATTTCTAATTTTTTCCATCATATATCTTCTTTTTCCACTGCTTGTAACTGAAAAACTATTGATGCCTCGACATTCTCGTTAAGGAAACATCATCTCATCAAATGGGCTCGAGAATCTGTTACTGAAAGGACATTCGAAAATTTTGAGACCGATTCCACAAAGAACATTACATAATATTTATAGATATCCCGCCATTTCCCAGTTATATATTTTCAATTCTAATTTTTTTAGGAAATAATAGAAAAGTAAAACAAACGAATTTTATTTTCACATCGACCGATTATAAATTTATACAAAATGTAAATCGGACGTGTAACTTGATAAAAATAATTTGCTAATAATTAATATTTCTGAAATATCGAGATTTAATCTTTATTTTTAGTAATTATAAAGTATTCGTGCGCGTATCTCGTTTCATAATTCTACCACGTTCGATATTAACTGTATATATATGTACATGTTATTAATCCAATAATTATTCTCAAAGGCGCTGTTCGAATCATCGAAGCGCGCAATCGCTGTGTGACGATGCAGAGCAACGCACGTCATCATCGCGTCTTGCCAAAAAGAGGAACGAGAACGTATACATACGAGGGGGATAAGGTATAGGACAATATTTTTTTTTATCTCTACGCGATATACACAGACACACATATATATCAAAAGATAAATATGTAAAATTGGCAAAAAAATAATAATAAATTATTGCGTGTCTTTCAAATTTGAGGTCTGTCTGCTGCCACGGTGCGGAGATGAGCGTAATCGTGATCGAGCGCGGTGATGGCGATGCCGGCGGTTGCTAACTAAAAATTGCAGGTGAAGTGAAAATTTGCAAGCGGCGTGGAAAGGAGGAGAGCGGCTCATTGTCAGTCGTCGCATTTAGTCGTATTCGCGTATACGGCGTGTAACGTGTAAGAAGCAAGGCAGCGCGTGCGAGGAGCGATATATAAGCGGAACTATCGGCGACAGTCGGTGGCGAGAAGGCGGCGCGACGACGGCGACGGTGGCGGTGCACGACGAGCATCGCGCGGCGTCGACGACCTGCCAGGGAACACGACGACACCTGCTCATCTCGGCGAACGGGAGGCGGTACGGTGGATACGCGCGTACCTACGTACGTACATATGCACGAATGCGAATGGACGTACATACGTACAGCGACGGCCATACTCAAACAACGGCCGAACGGAGTGCGCGGCGCGAGAGATGAAGTGATAATAGAGTCGAATCCGCGAGAGTAAAGAGATCTCTCGCGCGATTGTCGCGCGCGAAGCTACGTGAGACGGAGAAGAGACGAGGGAGACAAGCTGAAAGCTTGGTCGAATCGAGTGGGCGCGAGTATACCGCGATATATCGGTGCGCGAGAGCAGCAGCAGCAGCAGCAGTAGCAGCAACGAGAAGAACACGAAGGAGCGGCCGGAACGAGCGGAAGTGCGGGCCGTGCGTGCCTGCGTGCGAAAAGGCATAGGGAAAGGGGGTTGCAGCGAGAGAGCGGGAGGCCTGAACGGGGATCCAGTTACTCCGGCGAGATGAGCGCCAAGACGGACGTGAACAGGCGAGTCTTGGCGATCCAGGCGAAGAAGAAGCGGCACAAGCCCAGCAAGCGCAAGGGCAAGGCCAATTCCCAGGGTGATCAGGACGCGCAGAGCTCCAAGGGACCGCGTAGCGGCCAAGAAGCGGCTGCCGCTACCGTCTTCGAGTATTCCGATAGCAGCCGCATGATGCGCGTCCTCACCGGCGACAACGGGACCAGGTAACCCAGATACGATTCGATTGGAACAGCCGGCATCAAAGATGCGTCCGGATTTCTTACGTTACGCACTAGCCGTAATGTTGCGAACGATGACACGTTACGATTACGCACACGCACTTTAACGTATCGCAAATCCGGACGCATGTTAACGTCAGATGACAGTTCGTCGTTGAATCTCCTCGTTAACAATCGCGTTCAAACTTTTGTCTTAATTTGTTTCCTCGTGGTTGTTTCAAACATCTTTGTTACAGGGATTTTAAAGGTTTTCATGCTTTTTATGTATATATTTGTAATCGACATTTTTTATGATTAACAATAATTAATGTAACGTACAATGTAAGATAATTAAGCACAATTATCTCTGCAGCAATTATGAACAGTAATATAAATGATTATTTGTAATCTATGACGATTACGTATAATCTTATTACATGTAACATGTAACTGCTTTCTTGCTTTTTCAAATTGGGTTCCTAATTTTGTTGTGTTGTGAAAAGTTAGTTGTTACAAACATGGTGTTGGTTACATGTTACTTAGTGTTTATGATATATCAATACATTTGTCGTAGACCGGAACCGTGTCATAGTTCTAGCAATGAAACAATAGAAGACGATGACGAAGTGTTCAGTAGCGAAGACGAGGAGCAAGAGGACAGCAGTGACTATTGTAAAGGCGGTTACCATCCTGTGAAGATAGGAGATCTCTTTCTAAATCGATATCACGTCACTCGTAAGCTCGGATGGGGTCACTTCTCCACCGTATGGCTCTGCTGGGATTTACAGGTATAATAATGAATTTGATAATGAGCTTTTTTACACCTGCATAAAATACACGAGATGTCTTGAAACTGATTCTATACAGGATAAGCGTTTTGTGGCGCTTAAAATTGTGAAATCCGCATCCCATTTTACTGAGACTGCATTGGATGAAATTAAATTATTAAAAGATGTGCGCGATACAGATCCCGTCGATCCTAAGCGCAATAAGACCGTCCAGTTGCTCAATGACTTCAAGATCAGCGGCATAAATGGTCTGCATGTTTGCATGGTATTTGAAGTGCTTGGACATAATCTTCTTAAATTGATTATCAAGTCAAACTATAGAGGAATTCCAAGAAATAACGTTAAACGCATCATCAGACAAGTTCTCGAAGGTCTCGACTATCTTCATAATAAATGTAAGATTATGTTTAAATCACATTGAAATTGTATATATTTAGCTAACTTTTTGAAATGAAAAAAATATGCTGTAACTGCAATTTATAAGATAAATTTACCATTATATATAGTATGTTGAATTTTTTTCAGGTAAGATTATTCATACAGACATTAAACCCGAAAATGTTCTTGTATGTGTCGATGAGATCTATATACGAAAATTAGCTTGCGAAGCGACAGAACTGCATTCTATGGGAGCAAAGTTGCCAGTGTCTCTAATTTCCACCGCGCCGAAGGAATTTCAAGAACCTATACCAAATTCTAAAATGTCCAAGAACAAGAAGAAAAAATTAAAGAAGAAAGCCAAGCGCCAGAACGAGCTTTTGAAGAAACAGATGGAGCAAATCGAGGAATTAGAGGAGCAAAGTAAACTCGCGAATAGCATAAGAGAGAACGGGGAGGTTGAGACGAATAGCCTAGATCAGGATCTTAATACAGAAAGCATAGAAGATAATACGGAGAGCAAAGGTTCACCCGATATTTCGGAACCGTCCGCGCCTTCCTTACACATGAATGGAGTAGATGGTTTAGCGGGCGGCGAGAAGATACAGAATCCATCGCCCGAACAATCCGAGAAGATGGACAACATGACTCTATGCGACGTAGAAAAAAGTTGCGGCGAAGGTGTATTACCACCCGACGCTGAGGACACTGACGAATGTAGCGAAGGTAGGTGTCACGTCGAGCGAAGACGCATCTATCTTTGTTTCTTACTGCACAATTTTGTTTGTTATCCATCATCTTACTTTGTAGGTCGTAGATCATTTAATCCACCGGAAAGTAAGCAATTGAAACGGGCATTCGTGTCGCCCTTGGATCCCGCCATAATGGAGTGCGAGGTCGATGTGAAGATAGCGGATCTCGGAAATGCATGCTGGGTTCATAAGAAATTCACAGATGACATTCAAACTCGTCAGTACAGGTCGCTCGAGGTTCTATTAGGTTCCGGATACGATACCTCTGCTGATATATGGTCTACCGCTTGCATGGCGTTCGAATTGGCGACTGGTGATTATCTTTTTGAACCGCACAGTGGTAAAGATTACTGCAGGTAACGATTGCAAGATTCATATATAGCAGTTAATGCAGTTATATAAACTTACTAAAAATCATTCTTTCACATTATTTTAAATCGAATCGATTATTAACATTTCAGAGATGAAGATCATTTGGCCCATATAATCGAGTTGTTAGGAGAAATACCGAGACGTATCGCTCTTTCGGGAAAGAACTCAAAGATATACTTTAACAAAAAGGGTGAATTGAAGCATATTACCGGGTTGAAACCGTGGGGCCTGTACGAAGTGTTGACGGAGAAATATGATTGGACGCCAAGCGAAGCGCGTGAGTTCGCAGAGTTCCTAACACCGATGCTCGAATTTAATCCGAGCATGCGAGCTACTGCAGCCGAGTGCCTGAAGCATCCATGGCTGCAAATCAAAAAGTGATCGCGTTTTTTATTATTTTATCTGTAATATCCTCCCCCTTCCTCCCCTCCCCAATTCTCACCCCAGTCTTACCGCCCAGTTATCGCGATTGTAAATCGAGAGTGTGATAGGAAGCCGAAAATACCTGCAAATGTTGGGTGCGCTACTTCGCGTACTGAAAATTGTAATTCCGCGAGCTAATTTGCATACGAAGAGCAAGTGCATCGTTTCAAGAGCACACATACACAAACACATACATACACACATTAGAAAACTGTTTGATATATGAATTATGGGAACGAATTGTATCATATGTTGTTATATTAATCATACGAGTGTGTCTCCGCGTGAGGAATGCTACGAAACCGAAAATGTTTCAAGAAGATTGTTATATATCCTTTACAAAATGGTGATTTGACAATATCGCGAAAGTCGCCTCAAAGAAACTTTTCGAACGTAACGAGCGAAGTGTCGCAAAATCCGGAAATCGTTCAAGAAGATCTTGCAACATTCCGCTGATTTCCATATATAAACGGCCGCGCACGTGCTTCCTAATATAACACTCTCAACATCGGCTGATTATGTGTAATTGCACACTTGTTAAATCGTGTTTTTAATTAGTGATGAGAAAACTTAAATTAAAAAAAATTTTATAGTAATATATATATATATATATATATATTATTTCTCGTATTCTCGTATCGCATTCTTCATATTCGTCATTTAATTTATCTATTGAATATTCCAAGAGTCGTGGGATCTACTCATAATGCACTGTGAAAGGGACTATTGGCGGACTCGGTAACGTGTTTGGTTTAAAATTAGGACTCATTACCTTGACTCAGTTATCTGTATATACTTTTATATATTGCACACATCGGTCGTTGTAAATTCTTGCCAACAAACTTGTCGAGAAATCGCAACAGGACAGAAACAGCTATTTAATTAATATTTTACGTCTACCTCAATATACGTGAATCGGATAGAAATACTCGTAAACATAGATGCGCATGCACCAAGGGACTGTATGCACGTATAAATTGAAATAGATTGATTTGTATATTGTAGATAATTAAGAGTTGGTCGCTAGATTCTTGGGATATTATAATTAACTTGGGCGCTAACTGGAATAAGACAATATGTATGCACTCAATTCGATGACACGTTTTCAAATCGTTTAATTTGTGAAATTCGTATTTAAAATTCAATATATATTGAAGAATATTACTTTTATTTATCGACATTGTGTGAAAATAAAAAACTAAATTTTATTAGCAATAAGCATCGATACAGAGAGAGCTGTGTATCATATATACATATATATGCTTTTGCAATTACATAGATAAGAAATAATGTGAAAAACATACTTACTGTAAGCACAGCTTACATATATGTGGCAATAAAATTAACGTCATTATATATATATATATATAGTATGCTATTTACACATGAAAAAAAAATGCAATTTGTCTTGTTCCATCGTGCCCTGTAATAACGGTACATATTTCTAATAAACATTTCTGTTATAAACTTGTTTATGTCGCTCCAATGCGAACACCATATACATAATGTACAACTACGAAAAGAGAGTATCTATATCGCGGATAAGGTTTCGGTGAACACATAATGAACCATCGGAAGTAAGTAATGTTGATTTTCGTGCGAACCCCCTTATATCGTGAACACTGACTGACTACTGAAGCTCTCTGCCGATAATAATTGTCTTCTATTTTATAAACGAGAAAGCGAAGCAGTACGTTCCACTGGATCCTCTGGACATGGCGCATACTTTCTTATGTCAACGAATTTAATTCATGCTTCCCGCAGAATGTTCTGTTTCGCTTCGTCTGCCAGTCTAAGATCATTTCATAGAAAAAAAACAATCTCTCGAACTTTATGTATGGAGATGCGTGCGTATGTGGAAATCGTCACGATGTATAAATATTTTGTCACTCTCACTGCAGTTATATACCTTTTCCCGGGTAAAAGAGGAAAATACTCCCGTGAAAATACATTATAATCTATTTTTTAACATTATGCATTTTTTATTTATTTTTATTATTTTTTATTAGCACACAATGTCTCTTTATTACGCGGATATACGAAATCATGTAAAAAAAGGGGCGCAGCGCTTTTAATTTTAATTTATTAAAAATTAACGTATATTCTTATAAAATATGTTTACTGATTTCTATTACATTCTTGGATTCGGCCGCTTGGGAATTACTTAATTTAACAAGATCGTATTTTGCGATTTTGAGAAAAATTAAAAAATAGGCACCTATGATATCTTAAAATTTACAATATACATCTACGGGTGTACGATATACGCGAAAGACTTTATCAGAAAGTGCCTCTTCTACCCGCGTTATAATTAATATCGAATATAGAACGATGCGTTTATATTGCAGTTTTATTCCGGCAATGCAAATTTGATGCATTTTAGTTTGTAACATATTTATTATCCCCTCCGCAATTTTCGTGCAATTGCATGACTCGTCAATCTCATGTGATCTTCGATGACGGTAATCGTGACGAATCTGTACATAGTTAAAATTTTAGCGGATAATATTCAAAATATACGGTCAGTGTGAAATTTGTTGTTCTAAGGACAAGGAAGAAGGCAGCGATCACGACGACTTAATAATTATTTCTTTTTTGTTAATATTGCTCGTTAATAGAGAAACGCTTTTAATCAAATTAATATTGAGCTCTTCCGCGATTCCACTATATTCTCTTCGGCTCCCTTAATGTCATTCATAAAATTTTGCGGTAGTCCTCTAAAAAAGCTATAGAGACCTATCAAAATTCAAAGATTCGTTCGTGTCGTTGAGGATAATCTGAAACTCATATAATTTTAACGAACTCAAATAGCATTGAATTTTTTTAGTAAAATTGATATATATATATATATACATTGTCTAGACTATTAGATGAATCAGTATAGGTATCGAAATCGCGCCGACCGTCGTTAGAATCAATCGAAGCTCAATAATACTGTTGTACGTGCGTCATCGCATTTGGAGATCGTTCATACTGATCATAGATAAGTTTTATCACATATTAATATATCATATGTATTATACATATATATATTAATATTTCTAGTGCTCTATAAATATAAATAGATATATACATAAAAACATGAATTTATTAAAAACGATAACTTACGTAGGTAGGTGTGACTCGCTGCTTGGCGTTAGGATATATATAGTTAGGAGAAAATTAACAAACAATAAGCAAACTGTGTATAGCTCTTGATGTACAAGATATTCCCTCCCTTTTATTCCTCTTCCGACTCTTTTCCGAGTACATAATTTTATTTGTGCGAAGTAGATAGAAGAAAAGAATAGAAGAAATGAAAGACAAACAACCCTTCGAAGCGCTCCGTTTCTTTTTTTTTTTTGCGATAAACAGATTTCTCGCGCATAATATATACAAATATATATATATAAATATATATATTTATATATATAAATGTAAGATTCATGGATATGGATGATTAGGGATGGTCGGATGAAAGGGGAAATGGTACATAAAATATACAGGGACCCAATATTGAAATTTACCAAGGACTCATGTTTCAATCGGTAGATTCTAAATGTTATTTCGAGCGAAACAGATTCGTTGAATCGGGTATATTAATCGCACAGTGAAAATTTCGAGAATGTTATATGTACGATATACCAATATTTATGAATTATAATATTTTGGGATTAGAGCGACCAATATTATACTCTCATTCGGCTAAGAAATGCACATTTTGCACGAGGATCGCGAAAATCAAATAACTCAAAATTATGTGCATTTGTAAAATAAGTTTCTTGACATTTCCTTTCTTTTGTAGTCGCAAGCTTCGATGCCAATATCGATTGCTATTCTGTTTAAAAAACGATTGATAATACGTTATCTGACGCTAAACGCACAGCGAAACTCCATTGCGTGAGTCGTTCCTAATTAATAATCATTACTGAATCGTTGTGGAAACCTGTCTCTGTTCAATCCTTGTGGACGAGTATCGGTAGTACACAACGTTAAAGTGCGAATCGAGTATGCGAGGAATGTGGCCTTGATCGAGGAGCAAAAAATTACGTCGACGTAAAAGTTACGTGCGCTTTGTCGAAAAATAGATATTGTGCGATCTCCTCTTTTAATCTTAAGAAATTGGTTTTGCCGGGGATGCTATGAAAGAAAAAGAATGAGAGAGAAAGAGAGAGAGAGAACGGCAAGAGCGAAAACCATTCGATATTCGACGAGAGAAAATAAAAGAAAAAAGAAAAGCTTTGCTATCAAACACCAAGTTTTATTATATGTAAGTCGCAACGCGCGCGAGATACTGTAAATATTGCGAGATAAACCTGGCGCGGGGTTTTGCACATTTTTAGAAGAGCGTTCGCGTGTTAGGAGTCTATGGTGATTGAATCGCGCGGAGGGGAGACGGAGACCCTTCCGAGTGGATCTCTCACAACGTAAAATGTACAGCGATTATATATCGGAATATAATGGATCACAGAAAAACGCGCATTGTGAGTTAAGCGAGAGAAAGGGACGTGCTATAAGTCGGCATACGATAATATTATTATTATCTCACTGATTGGTACATAGTCATACTGGTCTTGTAGCGTTTATAGAGAGTCATTTAACTCTGCATGCTTAACCAATTTTGTGCTCGCCGGTAAGTCCGTGAGGACCCTCCCCCGCGACGGACACTTTAATAAGGGTGTAAAACTATCGATATAGAGGCGCGTGTAGGCGCTTGCGATATGTGACGATCATCTTTAGAAGTCCATCGAGCCGAAACGGGACATGCAAGTTAATAACGGACTAAACACCTGGCTGTTACGAGAAAAACGACTGGAGCATCGGGACAAGGAAAGCAAGGAAAGCAAAGAAAGCAGGGCGTTTTACTGTGCACACTCCTCTCCTAGATAATATCCCAGATTAGCGCGATAAAAATATGCCCTTTGTCACTGTTGGCTGGGCGATCGAATCGCGAGAGGAGGACCGGAGAGATGAAGCTCACTTGATTGATCAATTAATTCGCCTGGCCGCGTCGCACTAGTTGCATATGTTTGTAAGATGCGAAAGAATAGGAGGCATCATTCGTGCACGTGTCGTTAAATTTTCTATAATCAAAAAAGGCGAATTAATTTTAAAAAATTTTAATTATTCTCGATTTGGCAGAAAGAAAGAATTGAGACATCTTAAAACGAGTTTCTTTCTAATTCGGTATTTATAGTTACATCAAACGATTCGATTTTAAAAGTTGAAAAATTAATGAAAAAAATTATTTTGTATTACTTTCGACTTTATTTTTGTATAAGAAAGTATATGTATTTTATTTCCTATTTACAATTTTGTACAAATTATAGCAAATTTTTATTGATCTGTTATAATTAACTAGAAAATTTCTCTGAAAGAGAGAATTAAAAAGAAAGCTTTTAATTATAAAAAATATTTAAAAATGCATTAAACCGCTTTTATCTTTTTTCGTGTCCGAGCGTATCGTAGTACCATGAAGATCAGGCTCTTCTCGAGATATCTAAATGAATTAGGATGCTGCAGAAAAGGAAGTTTAAGAGAGAACACATACACACACAACACACATCGAATAACTATTATAGTTGCTGATCTATTGTCTCGTACTCCAGTCGCTCGATGTACGATCATATACGAGGCGTTAAGAATTCTAGAATATAATAAAATAGCGATAACGAATCGAACGAATAAATGGATTTGATGTTTAGACGCTGCCTCCGTTATGTGCCCTGCCGCAAAGAGTAAATTAACACAGACAACCATGTACACCCACCTCCCGAGAGAGATTGATATATATATGAGAAATAAATTCGCAACAAAATAAATTGTTCTCTTTTCACTCATTATCCATTGTCTGAGGAAGAGAAAAAGTAGCAGGCTGAAATCAATCAAGAGAATTATATAGATTTTCTTTTTATTATGTATATCACAAAATTATATCACCTTTATTATCCCTGAATGAGATTATACAGTCATCATAAAGGGCAGGGTACAATGTGTTTACATATTTCCAAATATGTTTTATATTAAATATCGAACGAGAAAAAAAGTGAAAATACTTTATAGAATTCGTCGCGTGTATAACTGTTAATATTTCTCCGTTTCTATCATCAGGCTGTGTATATTACCTGCCGAATGCAATATCAATTACAAATTTTATTCCGTTTTACAGTAGAGTACAGTTCGTAATAAAATTTATTTTTCGCCAGCTGATTTCTAACTACGAAACTTGTATAATGGGTTAATGTTCGGCCTCGAGAAAGCAAGATAAGATATTCACCGTATATTCACCTACGAATGATATGATAACGAAACATATACGCTCGCAAGTGTTTACGACAAATAATATACATATTTTTTCGCAACAATACCATCACAGGTAATTAATAACTAGAAAACAGATCTTTTTTTAATTTTAATTTATGATTTACTCATTATATTCATGTATTTGTTCAATCATCATAATTTTAAATTACTTTAACGCTATTCGTATTTAAACGTATTTGGCAAGTCCAAACGTGTAATTAATTTTACATTGTTCAAATATTATTATAGAATAATTAATAAAAAGGCATTTTTCTTTATAGCATAAATATATAATTTAACAATTCTGTGAGAATAATAATAATAACTAGATGTTATAAATTATCTGAATCAATTTACTAAATACTATTGCTAATTTTTTTTACCAAGTTTGTTTAAATAACTTATGACTTATTAAAATCACAATGGTTTCAATTAATATATCAAATAAATCAAATAATAGTAGATATAATACAATATTAGACTATCATTATATATATTCCTGCGACAGATTTTTTTTTCGTTGTATTTTTACTGAATATCATAATTTATTATGATTAAAAATAAAATTTAAATATTGCACATAACAAGATTAACAAGTGAAGAACAATTGGTTATTTGTATATATCTCTATATGTACAACAAAAATATCAGATTGTGTAAATAATATTTTCTCTCATTCATACTCAACAAATATATATTACATAATTAAAAAATTATGAAATAAAATTAATACAGATAAAAGGTAAGTAAACATAATCCGTAACATTAGTGAGAACAAGTTGGACTTTAATCAGACCAATCCTCCTCAGTTCTGTAAATTAATAGTATTTCTGTTAATATTTTAAGAGCTTCCTGAAATCAATTTACTATCCATTACCATCACCAAGCTGCTTTGAATAAAGCAAGCATATTGGACAATACTGTAAATGCTGTTTGCTATAATAAGCAGCAATATATAATGATTGTTATTATTATTATTATTATATAGATGCCTATAAAGATTAGATAAAAAGAAACAAATAACAAAAATGGTAAAGGAGAGTTATTAACGTCTTAAAAGAATTGCACTCATATATCGTAATTGTATAGAAATTGTGCAAATGACAATATTTAGTAACTCTTTTACTCATTTTCTTTTTCCACTCTTGTTCATTTAATCTCTCCACCCACAAACCATAGAAAAAATTGTAGCAAATTATATGGAATATATAAATGTAAGATTTTGTATTGTAAAATTTCATAATATAGAAATATATCAATGCAGCAGATTAGTAAAACGTGAACAAGTTAATATTAAACCTATTTTAGATGATCTACAATTTGTGATAGAATTCAAGAAATTTATCTATCATTTTAAGTGCTGCATATTCTAATATGTGTGTTTATCCTGATATGTTTGTTGTATTCATGTATATTTCATTTCTTCAAATATGTTGTTTGTATGTTACAATATATAAAATTATAAATTCTGTCAATATTTGATCAATTATAGATCATCTAAAGTAAGCTTTACCCACAAACAGCGAATTAAGATCAAAAAGATATTCTAAATAGGTATATGTATGTATCTACACCATTTACAAACAATATATTTAAAAGCATGTAATTCAGCACACTTAAAAACACACATCACACACATAAAATAAATTAAATACTTAATATAGACCCGTGTCTAGGACGCCCGTTCTTCTCTTTTCCGTGTGATTGCTCCTTGGCCGTTTTACTAATGTTCAGGTTTAATTGGGCAGTCGATGCCGTAGTTGCCTCTTCGTCCGATTCTATTGGACTGATTCTGATAGCTTGGTACCATTGATTCGTCAAATCTGTCATCTGTGATTTGCAGTCTTTTAGCTCCTGTTGCGTAAATCGCCTTGTGAAGAATGGAATGAAAAATTTTAAATCCCATCTTGCAAAACCACGAATCCGTGATTGTAAGAAAGACACTTCCATTTCCTCCTCTGTGAGTTCCGACAAATATTCGGAATCTATAGTTTGTCCCTAAAAAAAATATATATATATTATTGTAAAACATTGATTTATATGAAAAAGTTTTATAATATAATTATTTGTACAACTTTTTTTTAATTACCCATTCTCTGGTTTTACTCAATGAAACTTCCTTATCCTTCTTCTTTCTCCTACTATTGCTCTTCTGTTTCTTTTCTGCCCTTAAGAATTTTAACAGAGGCATAGTAGAACCGCCGAATATTAAGGTCGTAAACAATACGATTATAAGTGTCGTTGTTATAATAACATGGCGCGTTTCATCACTGAAATCTAAATGAAGCGATAGTGCGTATGATATAGCACCGCGCAGGCCGCTAAACCACATGATAAACATCATTTTCTTTGTGATTTGATGCTCGCGGAAACGATTAACAAGTAAGGCCAATGGAAATATGTTGGCAGCTCTTCCAATCAGACACAAGATTAAGGACCAAACGACTAATGCTGGCTCAAACTGTCAAGAAAAGAAAAGATTTAAACAAAAAATTTAAAGACTTAATTGTACAATAAGCATACACATATGATGTATTTACCCTATGTCTAAAACTAAACAATGCTAATCCTAAGTATGCAAAAACACAAGTCTCAGCTATAAAGGCTAGTGTTCGCATAGTTTGTTGCATTGTAATCTGCGTAACAGTTGATAAGTTAAAATGTGTATAGTGTGACATGACTATTCCGTTGAATAGAATTGCCATAATTCCTGTAATAATAATACATTATAAAGCAAATAAGCAATAATAATTGTACAATAAAGAAGTTTATTGTATTTAAAAAATAAATGTTTACCTGACAATTGTATGCCTTCTGCTAAAACATATGGGGCATACGTAAATACTAACATTATGCCAAACTCTAAAGATGGATTCTTCCTGAGATCTACATGCTTTAACAGTAATGCACTTATTAAAGCAAAAACAACGCCAATTCCGGCTGATGCAAAGAACATGAGGCAAAATCGATTCAAGCCAAGTATTATAGCTTTACTGGTCGTTGTCGCATTGTTGGACTCCAAGACAGAAGTTGTCAATACAATGGAAATAGCGTCATTCAAAATCGATTCTCCAAAGACCAACATATTCAAGACTGGATCGACATCAAGAGCATGAAAAATTGCAACCGTTGCGACAGGATCCACCGCCGATATCAGTGATCCAAATGCAAAACTCTCGACGAAACTGAGCTTGTACGCTACTTGCGCCAGACCTAGCAAATATATTCCGGCGCCGATGACAAACGCAGAGATAGCCGTTCCAAAAATGGCAAATACTAAAATACTGCCAATGTTTTGGAAAAAATTTCCCTTATGCAGATTGTATCCCGATTCGAATATAATGGGCGGAAGTAGAACCAGGAAAAACGCGGTCGGCGAAAAAGCCTCCTCTTTTCTCCAGTTGGCTATATTCTGATGCGACATGAGATTTATGATCATGCCAATCGCAGCTCCCAAGAAGACGATCACTACTGATTCAGGAAGGTACTTGAAATTAGTTTGCAGCATCAGGTGTATCAATAATATTCCTAGTGCTAAGACACACAATACGAAGAATATGGACATCGAGCTGTTATGCTCCTCCTCAGCAGAACCCTTATCAGGAAGAACCGGTTCCGCCGGGGCAACTGTGGTTGTGCTAGTGTTCGTTGTGTTGACGGCATCTGGACTCTGCGATGATATGGAGATAAACGTTGCATTCTTATCATTGACAGAACTTGGCGATATCGTGCCGATCTTCTCAGTTGTTCCATCGTTGATAACATTGGTGTTTACAGTTGAATTAACAGATGTGACAGGAGGTTTTACAGTGGAGATTGAACTAACGTTATGACTACCGACGTTTGTACTGTTCGTGATTCGCGTTGTACTAGACAAATCTGCCGAAATACCGACATTTGTCGTGACATTTAAGGTATTCGGACTGTTTGTCACCGCGAGCGTAGTCTTGCTATCGGTGACATTCTCATTTTTGAGGTTAATCGTCTCGATCCCATGGGATACATGTCGCGAAATGTTACACAGTAATAAGATCCCGACGATGAGGCTCCACTTGCGCAACAATACGAAATGTACTTGAAACGCTCGCATCATCTTTCAACGACGAGGCATTATTTTGCAGATAGCAGAAGTCAAACACGCAGTTTTTCTTTTTCGTCGTACGAATATTTTGCTAGAGCTCGGTCACGTGACGGCATGACATCGCGAGAATTGACATTTGACTAGTGGATTAGAATGTCGGACAGTTCGAAAATAGGTGCACTCATTTGACGTAACAAATACGTGGAGAAACGCTTGGCTGACCAATCAGGTTAAAGAAATTTTTGTCCCTTTTATTTTGATTGGTCAGTCAAACTTTGGTAACATTAAACGAAACACGCTCGAAATTCATCGATTTATGTGAGTCAGCCTGTATGAGTGAGAAAATTCCTCAGAATTTTTTATTAAATTTCGAATTAAAAATATTTTTTAGCGTATTTTTAGAAATATTATATTTATTATTATATTTATATATTATGTTTATCTACTTTTAAAGATTCATTGGTATACTCCCATGCTAAACCCGTGCGACCGATTTCTGCTGGTTGCACAAGATCTTCACCTAATCTTTGTTCAACACCCTTCCAGGATCTCTCTTGTAGATATTGAGCTCCAGCCTTACCAATAGCAATAGTACCTGATGAAAGAATTGTTATGCTAATCATTGTAATGTAGCTATAAAATTACTTAAAGTTGTTGAACTACTTGCACAAAAATACGAAAATGTAAATAAATTGTAAAAAAAAAGATGATTTTAGAGAATCGCAGTTCTTTTTAGTGTTTTAGGTTTTTAAATAAATTTCAATAAACCGGATATATCTACCTGATGAACGAATTGTCAGAGCATTCATTTGATCTGTACACGAAGTATCATCCTCACAGTTTCTAACACTGCTATTAATAAGGGAAATGTCTGAATCAGTTGATGGCTTAAAATTGACATAATGAGAACCACCAGGCAATATCTGCCGAAAGTCCATAAAATATTGTAGGCAAAACTCCCTTGCAGTATTAAATGCCAATTCAACTTCGTACGGCGTAACCATAGGCTTTAAAAAATCTCTTGAGTCAAATACTTCGTTCTCTGGGCAAGCTATTACAACAAAAGCGTCAATCTGTAATAAAAATAAAAAATATATTAATATAATTGTATACAAAAAAGCCAAGTCATATATCTCTTTCACTGTATCATATAGCTTGACATACCTCTGGAAAATTTGCAAGTTTAGCAGGATTAATTTTTCCTACGTTAAGAATATATGATTTCTTATTTTTTTGCTTAAGAATCTTTTTCACTGTGTTTATAGCTGTCAGATATTCTTTAATGCCTAATGTAGCCACTACAATTCCCACAACTTTGGCATCCTTCAACTTCTCTATTAAAAATCTTCTTCGTTTTAGCCAGGGTGTGTTCAGTGCTTCAAATTCATGAATTTTACTATTTGCAAAGGAATACCATCTTTTAACAGGTATACTCATTGCTAATATCGAAAATGTTTTTCCTTCCTCTCCCAAAAAAAACCCCTCGTAATCCTGTATGTTATATCCATTTTCTAATGTATAGTTTCTGCCTAAGACAGTTGAGGCACTGGTTGTTTTTGTATCAGTATATTCCACGTTTGATATACAATTTAATTCAGACAAAATTAAATGTTTGTATATAGGTTTCAATATATCATATACATGCTCTGTAAAATTAATACATACAATGTGTATTATATCTCTATTAACTACACACAAGAATAGTTCCCTTTTTTTTTTAAATATCTAGAATATTTACCAATTTTATGCGCGTATGCCACATCGTAGAAGAATAAAATTTTCTTTGAGGGATCTGAGAAGACTCGTTTAAATTCATTACAGAATTCTATTGTATCAAACTGCTTTTTTGGCAAAATGTGTAAAACTGGTAAGCGAGCGGTAGGATTAAGGCAGGCATGTCCAAAATGTATTATACCATCTGCATTAATATGTTGTGCCGCAATTTCATCAACACAACAACTACCGCAAGTTGTATCTCCTAAGATGTATACTTTTTGCCCTATACTTCTTTCCAAATGTAGCGCAACTTCTACGGAATCTAGTAATAAACTATCTGGAAATTGTAGACATACCTGTAAGAATAAATATAGCTCCATATAAACACTTTTTAATAATGAAGTAATTTATGTTTACTCTACTGCTATTTTTAATAATAACTGTAATTGCTCATATCATATATATATATATATATAT